ATAAATATATATAAATATATATAAATATATATAAATATATATAGATATGTATAGATAAGTATAGATATGTATATATGTATATATGTATATATGTATATATGTATATATGTATATATGTATATATGTATATATGTATATATGTATATATGTATATATGTATATATGTATATATGTATATATGTATATATGTATATATGTATATATGTATATATATATATATATATATATATATATATATATATATATATATATATATATATATATACAAATATAAATTCTCTCTCTCTCTCTCTCTCTCTCTCTCTCTCTATATATATATATATATATATATATATATATATATATATATATATATATATATATATATGTATGTATATATATATAATCAGTGATATGAAAACACGTTGGAGAGCTGAATTACCAAGCACCAATGGGTTAACAAAGACACTTTCTGAAGTCAAGCCGTCCCCTCTTCAGCCAAGCAAGGGTGAGCCTGTGCTACTTAATCTCCCCACCTTATGCTATTCTGTCAACTTCTAGCTACATGTTGTATGCTTCATATAATAAATTCTCATCCCACAGCTACACTGTGGCTCTTTATCTCTCCTTGCATCACTTATACTTGTCTTTGTTATCTTAATAGTATTGGTTCTCATCAAGGCATGTTGTCTGCAGTTGTGAGGCCTAGCTATTTCATCCCCAGGGCAAGATGATGTACCCCCATGGATGTTATAAGAGTACAGTGTGCTTAGTTTCCTGTTTGCTCCCCTTTTTACTCAGACCTTATTCTTTACTTTTTTTGTTTTGTTTTGTTTTCTTTTCTGATTCTGACAACCCATCTTGCCATCCCAAGCTCCCACAGCATATTCATTTTCCAGGCCATCCCTGGTGCCTAAATAGTACCCTCATTATTGGTCCATTTAACCCAATACCACTGGGAACTTGTAAACTTAATAAACAAAATTCTCAGTGGGTATATATATGCAGATGCCATCCCCAGCAGCATTTTTGTGTATATGTGATGGACACAAAACTCTTAAAACTATTTGCAGATAAGCTTGCACTCTCTTAGGATGGTTTTCTGAGGCCAAATTAATCCGGGTTTAGTGCATGTACTTCATTAATTCTGGTGCCTATGAATACTACACATGCTATTGAGGATTCAATCCAAGGAGAGTTTCCAATCCCCACAGCATATTATAGGAGAGAATAACAGAAGAGAGAGTGTGAGAAAGGGAGATTAATGTAAAGATAGATAGATAGATAAGTAGATAACTGATTAAATGAGACTTCAAGGGCAGTCTTAAATTTTGGAATGGACCTCAGAATCTGTCTTGATGCACAGCTTATATATGTAATAGTGATCTTCATTTTTTTTTCCCCCAAAGTTGAAATTCACCATGAAGAAATCATAGAAAAAATATGTAAGATATGGAGAGGAATTCCAGTTATAGAACTAAAAAAAAAAAAAAAAAAAAAAAAAAAAATTGCTTGGAATGGTGCATCAGTAGTGAATTGACTTTTGAAGGATTTTGAACAATCTTGTTTCATCTTGGACTGACTTAGAACAACAAGTTACTCGGGTTTGCCCTTGCTTGATGGACAAAGGAGGACCAGGGGCTTGACTTGGCCAGAGAGCATTTGCCGGAATAGTGTGAATACCAAGTCAGTGCAAGAAGAATTGAGTGTTGGGAGTCTTCAATATAGATCTTTTGACTTCAGCTGGAAGAGACATTTCACAAAAATATAAAAAATGAGTACAGCATTTTCCCTATTTTTTATTCATTTTCCCCGGCGGCAGTGGGTTGATACACAAGTGAGGGCATAATTTTGGTTAAAATTAGTTATAATAAATATTGTAGGATGGTTTCTTATGCTTAGAGGGCTGCTAGAGGGTAACCAGGTGAAGCATACTGGTTTGAGAGTCATGATAAATACATGATGAATTCAAATAGACACTTCAAAATATAAATGTACCTTTAAAGTTCTTACATGTATAAAGTAGATATAGAGATAAGGTGAGGATAGCATAGTAGATACATAGTAGGAAGTGTGGAAGTTTGTTACAATAGAGGATCATATGTATCTTCAAAGATTACCCAACATGTTAGGTAGGTCTAGAATTGAATTTAGATAGAGAGAAGGTATGATAGACATTAGATGTGCAGCAGGAGACAGTCCCAGTGAGCTAGAAAAAAAGAAAAGAAAAAGAAAAAGAAAAACAAAATAAAACAGTAGGTCAGTGGCATGGTCATGAATTCAGAGTGATTATTTTGTATGAGATATTTAAAAGGCTAAGTTCACTAATCCAGTAAGTGCAGATGCAGGTTAATATAATCCACAAAACAGTATTTCAGAGAATGATGCAATCTGTGGGATAGAGAAAAAAAGTTCATGTGTAAAAGTCAGAAATATCAAAGGATTCCTGTAATGACTTTCTTTCCACATCATCACCACCATCATCACCATCACCATCATCATCACCATCACCACCATCACCATCATTATCATCATCATCATCCTTCACTGATCATTATAATGATGAGAAATATAAAGACTTTCCCCAGTCTTAACTGTTTAAATACTACCCAGCTAAACTGTAGTATACTATGCTATTTCATACCAGGAAACTGTAACTAATGTTAGTTTCCACAGTCACTGTATTGAGAGTGGTGTCTCAGTGTGTATCGGACTCAGGTGTTGATATTGTTACTGATATTGACTCTGGGCAAGTGAGTCACAGAGAAAGTAAACTGCGTACAAAAAGTGAAAGAAAGAGAGGAAGAGAAAGTGCAAATGAGATAGGAGGGGGGAGGGAAGAAGAATGCAGATAGAAAGAAGGGGGAGTAAAAGAGAGGAGAGTAAGAGAGAGATTAAGCCAAGTTTTTGAAGTTTAAATCTTTCACCTTTGTAAATGAGAGGGAGAGAGTGAGTAAATGGTTGAAAATGTGAGAGCGGTAGGAGAATGAAGGTAAGAGTAAGTGGAAGAGATAGTAAGCACAATAGGAGAGACAGTGAAAGAGTGAAACTAAGAATGAGAGTGAGCATTAGAGGAGAGAGAAGGTATCATGGTTTGAAGAGTGTGGAGAGAGTGATTGAGTGAGTGAGTGAGTGGGTGAGAGTGAGCATGAAAGTAAGAACAAAAGAATGTGTATGACAATAAGATTAACAGAGAGAGAATTAGAATATGAATGTGTGTTTCAGAATGTGAGTGAGCACAAATGTGACAGTGAGTGTGCACAGCAGTAAGAGATAGGATACATGTGCATTGATTGAGAGACATTAATAGAAAGGTAGGCAGGCAGATATAGATATATTTACATATATGCCTATGAACCGTATTCATGTTGACAAATGTAGAAATGGTATGAATGAGAATGAATATCTTCACAATGCAAGAGATGTATTTGATCGGTTTTGATTATATCTTTGTCAGAAATATTTCTGACAAAGATATAATAAAAACAGGTGAAATACATCTCTTGTATTCTAAAGATATTCTCATTCATACCTTTTCTATATATGCATATGTATCTGTGTGTCACACATTCTTGTGATGAATCTTGCATCTTTACAAAGCAATGTATTCATTTGAAGATCCAGTAAGTATATAGTATCTGCACCTTTTTATTTCTGCCTTCACTAAGTACTTACACTTCAAACAGGCCATGGAGCTGATGTCAAATGTGTGGACTGGCACCCTTCAAAGAGCTTGCTGGCATCGGGGAGCAAAGACAATCAGCAGCCAATTAAACTCTGGGATCCTCGCTCTGGTCAACCCCTCGCAAAACTGTAAGTGTGAGACGTACACGCGGGAAGTTTACTGAAGCAAACTCGCGTGTGTATATGATTATACATCAGTATTTAGGGCGTAGATAATGAGATATGTTAATTCACTGTCCCTTTTTGTTATTTAACTTGTGTTCTCTTATTTTTTATTCTTCCTTTTTGTGGATAGATAGATGTTTGCATTTTGCAGTTTGAATTAATGGTCTTCCTCATTTTTGTACTTTCGATTGAGTTTTTAAATGGAAGGCATAGAGGTAATATTTAAGATAATTCAAACTCTTTACTTTGATCAAGATGGTACCGTAAAAATTCATTTAGGATAATATGTTCTCCATTTTTTTCAGACATGCTCATAAAAGCACAGTCATGGATCTGAAGTGGAATGCCAATGGTAACTGGCTCTGCTCAGCATCCAGAGATCATCTGCTCAAGCTTTTTGATATCCGTAATCTTTCCACAGAATTCCAGGTGAGTGGATGGGGTTTATGTATTAGGTGTAAATGTGTGGGCAGTAGGTTCATTGACTTGTTTTAGTGTGTTTGAGTTTTGTGTGTAATGTGCTGTTTTGTGAAAATTGGGGTATCCTATCTTTAACCCATTGCGGCTGGAGAAAATTAATAAAAAATGGGGAAAATGCTGTGCTCATTTTCTATATTTTTGTGAAATATGTCTGTACATAGATGGCTCTGCTAGTGCTTAGCCACAAAGGAGTCAGTTAGTAGATCTTGTGATATTACCTGATTTAACCTTTCCTTGAATTGACGGGAAAAACATATTTTTTACTAATTCTATGAATGTCGATAGTGTTATTTTTATTATAAACATAATTACTATAATGTTATAAACATTAGTAACAGCAAAATAAGATAATATAAAATATTTTCGTAAATCTGTGAAAAGGGTGAACTGGAGAGACAGGCATTACTCATAACTAGCTCATTGGTGACTTAGTACAAGTGTAGCCATCTATTTGCAGAGACAATCAAAGAAGTAAACTCACAGTGAGCATGGCATGAACGTACGTGCCATGCCTGCCTTCATTTTCTTCCATACTGTAATTGTCCTTTTTTGCAGGTATTCAGAGGTCACAAAAAAGAGGCATCGTGCATTGCATGGCACCCCCACCATGAGGGTCTGTTTGCTAGTGGTGGGTCTGATGGCTCTATCCTATTCTGGCATGTGGGGTGAGTATGAGTTCTTGCACATTTAAATATTATATTCCATGAGGTTTAAGGACCCCAAACCTGAAAAGATTTTAGCAGATTGCAAAGGCAGAGGGCAGAGCCTGATTTTGGAGGGTAAAGTTATCTGTATAATTTTGCCTAATGCAAAATATAAATTCAACATCAAATGATAGCTATACAAACACATGTATTGCTTCACAGTTATTTGTGGAATAAAAGCTCAAAGGAAATAGTTCTGCTTAATTGAGAAATATTCATCTAAAGAGTTGCTTATGTGGTACACCATACCTTACATGGGCAGTGGAGAGGTAGTCCTGTGACATTTATGACCAGAAAAGTATAGGGAAGGCATGTACATTATAAATACCAAGGTGGCACAATCATGTGGCTGTACATTGTACCGTACACCCTATCTTGGTATTTACATTCCCTATTGGCCAGATAGAGGGAATTCATATATTATAATGCAACTAGTCATGAATATTCCCACCACCACCCCATCCATAGGGAGTATATAGACTTGTAAAATTATATTGTAGTCATTTATTATATGCATGTTTCATTATCCAAGGGGTAGATGTTGGGAAGTATTTTTCTATCAGCTATTTTATATCATGATTTATTCCGTAACTATTGTCGTCAACATATGTGAGTTCTCTTTATCAAATTTAACTAAGAGAGAGAGTAGAAAGAACTTGGGTACTTCAATGTTTGAGCTCTTGTGACCAACTTAGAATCGAGATGTATGGTGACTCACGAATGGTGTTGAGTAATTTTTGGAAATGTACACCTATTTTTGCCCCTCTCTTTCCAGCTGGGCTTGGGGTCCTTAAGGTTGATAAAACAAAAGTTTGCAATATGATGATCTTTATTAGTGACTTTTATACATGGTCTTTCTATACAAGCACTGGAATATAGAATGATTTGCTTTTTGTTTTGCATACTCCTTGTCTCAAAATCTTGATGCAGTACCTTATATCCCTCAACAAAACAGTAATGACAAGGAAGTGGGTGCCATTGAGTCTGCTCACGATGGCATCATCTGGGATCTGGCCTGGCATCCTCTCGGACATATACTCTGCTCCGGCTCTAATGATCACACGTCAAAGTTTTGGACGAGAAACCGGCCGGGAGACAAGATGAGAGACAAGTACAACCTAAACACATTACCTGCTGGAGTCCTGGCCGACGACTCCATGGATATTGGTGCGTTCGATGAGGTGTTTCCTTTTTATCAAGTGGGATATTTCCTCGCATGGAGTACTAGATGGTGTAAAATAATTTTGTGAATATGTAGAGTGGTATTGCAGTGTGCTTGCAATATTGTGATAATACAGATATCATAGATACTGCCGCTCTTCTAAATCTTTCTTCCTCAATTGATATATGCTTTTATAACTCTAATGAAAATCCGTTTCCCCCATACTCTAGATGACATTCCTCTGAACTCGAGCCTGACCTCCCAAGGAGCCATTCCTGGTATGGGTCCGGATGACAAAATTGAAGAGACGGAAACAGCTGGTCCTGAGACTATCCCAGGCTTAGACTTCGAAGGTGTTGGATTTGACAGGTCAGGCGAAAGTCCTTTTTTTGTGTGTGTGTTTGAAATTGAGATTGGTTGTTGTGCACAGTTTATTTGTTAAAAGTTGGTTTTTAGGTGTACATTTTAGAAGTAGTTTTGTACATAGGAATAGGATTTCAGTACAGAAGTAAGTGATTTATATATATATATGATTTTAACCCCTCAAAAAAACAACAACTATATTCTTCCAGATTTTCCAAGAAAACTCCATATGCCAAACCTATTCCCAAGACCTTTCAAGCTGCGTGGAATGCTGCTGGTGGGTTGGAGGAAGAAATTGAAGAAGAAAACAGTGCGGTGAGTATTGAGACCAATCTTTCGGGGGTATTCTTTACTTGTTTGATTTGCTTTCCTTACCAATTTTATTTTATTTTTGAGAAAATATATTTTTACTATTTTACTGGCTAAGTGGAGAGAGAGAGAGAGAGAGAGAGAGAGAGAGAGAGAGAGAGAGAGAGAGAGAGAGAGAGAGAGAGAGAGAGAGAGAGAGAGAGAGAGAGAGAGAGAATGAATGAATGAATGAATGAATGAATGAATGAATGAATGAACCCCTAATCATTATTCCTCAAATATACCCACAGACAAGCTGGGTAGTGACGGACAGTGCTGCCCTGTTCTGCATGCCAGCCAACATAGAAGGAGAGATGGTCTACACAGATGATGGCGACGAACTGCCCCCTGGCTCGGTGCCCCTGAACAACATTAAGGCCAACTCCATTCTGTACTGTGGTTTCCTCATTCCTCTGGGTAAGGAAGCTTTGTTTTCCTCAATTTCACTGGGTTCGGAAGATTTGGTTTCCTCATTCCACTGGGTTCAGAAGATTTTACTTACTATTGCAGTTTCAATGAAGCCAGTGTGCTGTGTTTATATGAATAGTCGGTAATCAATTGAACTGAATACTAGTTTATATTATTAGATGATTGTAAATAAAAGTAGATGGGTAGATATAAAAGATATGAATAATACAGATAGCTTCATGTCAATAAAGTAATATGAATAAATGTATGTGGATCCAATGGGATGTGAAGGATCACAGCAAACAAAGGGACTCCCAGTCATAGCCAGTATTGCAAGAAGAAAATATTGATAATGATAATAAAAAATGTGCTCACTTGATGACTGTCAACCTCACATTCTACAGAGAAAGTGGCAGGAGATGTCATCCAGAATGCCTTTGCCACCATGGAGGAAGAGGATGCCATTGCTGAGATAACTGGAGACTTTGAATTTGCCAGGAAACTCATAAAAGAAAAGAACCAGCTACTGAATCCAAATGCCAGGTGAGTTGGTACATAATTTTTATTTATCCATTTGCTTTGTAAGTGGGTGTGTGTGTGTATGTGTGTATGTATGCGTACATTCATGCCTGCATGTATTTGTGTGTATATGGTTAAGAGTAATGTCCTAAAGCATATCATCATGTAGACACACCCTATCTCCTCTTGCCTCCCATGTCCTGGGGTCAATAGACAACAGGCAAGTTAGGCAAAACAGTTAGTTAGAGAGCATTTTTATCTTATATAGTCAGGCTCTTTAAGATATTTCTTTTATGTCAAGGAGCCTGGTCTCATTATAATTTGTAAAATTTATCAGACTTAAACAATTAGCTAAATAGTGTTTGAATCTGAATCTGAAAAGAGGTAACTAATCCCTTCTGTGTCCTATTGGAGTGTGTGGCAAAACCATAGGGGACCCTAGAGAGCTATTGGGCTCTGGAACCCACCACCTACCTTATTTGATCAATGCTTGGGAAGGTAGCAAAGGTGGCATCCACCCTGAGTGACTGCCCAAAGCTCAGCCTAAGTTGGGCCATCTGGGTGGGGGCATGGAACAGCCACAGGAAGGATTGAAGTAAATGAGGGTTGAGGTGGTTGTCCTCTAAGAGGTGAGAATTCCTGGCAGCACCAAGATTAGTAGATGTGGTTACACCTATTACTGGTCAGGCTGCAGTGATGTCAACATGTTTAGAGGGTAGCTGCAGCTATATTTAACAGGCTTCAGCCTTCAGTAGTAGAAGTAAAAGCATATAATGGTCTTTAGTCTAAGGTTTGCATTTGACTTTTTTCCTTTTTGCTGACTTTTGTCAACTCAGTGTGAAAGACGGATTGATTGGTTATATGCTTAAATGTGGGTGAGCATTCATATAATATGACAAACCTGTTGCCAAAAAAATTACATATATTAGATCAATAGTCTAACTGCTCATTTACACAATCTATGTTTTTCTTCCAGTGAGGAACCTCCAGAGAAGAAGGGTGGACCCCAGTTTGGTGAACAGAAGAATCCCAATTATGGCAATAACAACAACAATACAGGCAACTACCAAGGCTCAGCAGGGTTCCAGGGCATGCAGCAACCCTTCGGTGGTGGTCCTAGTGGCCCACACAACCCCAATTCACAGAGAGGGAACTTCCGAGGACAATTTGATGGAGGGTTCAACCGCGGGGGGCCCAGAGGGAATTGGTCACACAGAGGAAGCGGCCCAAGGGGAGGCCACAATATGGGGGGGATGAGGGATGGTGGTGAACAGTACGAAGAAGGCTTTGATGAAGACTGGGGGTATGACGAGCAAGGGGGTGACAATGGCATGAATGGGGGAGGCCACTGGGGGGGCTATGAGGACCGAGGGAGAGGGCGTGGCCGAGGCAGAGGGAGAGGGAGGGCCAGAGGAAGTTTCAAAGACTTTGGGGGATATGAGGATGATGAGCACATGGGCGGGGGAGGCCGACCCAACCACTGGCGTGGGGGAAGAGGTGGCATGCAGGGTGGGGAGGACCACTATGGCGGGGGGGGAGGAGATTGGCACGGGGAGAACACATGGTCAGGGAAGGGTAACAACTACAACAACAACCAAGATGGTGGATGGGATGGCGAAGAGTATGGGGGCCATGGAGGTCGAGGAGGGCCATGGAGGGGTAGGCCAAGAGGGCCCAGGGGAGGCGGAGATTTCCAGAGGGGAGGGAGAGGAGGGGGAGGCAGAGGCGATTTCCAAAGAGGGAGATCGAGAGGGGGTGACTTTCAGCGTGGTAGAGGGCGGGGAGGTCCACCAAGGGGGAGGGGGAGGGGCATTGAAGGGGGTGGTGGATGGGACAACTTTTAGTGATATTCTTTTTTTATGCAAAGCCACACATAATCCATTCTTTCACTTGGGGAATCGCACTATTCAGGAGTCTTACTGGCAACTTCTTTTATTTTTTACAAATCTAGAGTAAAAGAAAATCAAGCATTCCTGACCTGGATGTTTTCGTGCTGATGTTATTCTCTTTTTTATATATATATTTATCCTTAAATGATATACTTAGGTCTTATGCATATCTGCATGAATGTATGTATGCATGCATGTTTCTAAAGAGTGAGAGATAAAAATGATAGATTATTGTAACAGTTAACCTTCTGTGTCTGAAGAATTTTTACTGGTTCTTTTGTTTTTCTTTTTGCTCTTGA